ATCTTTCTCCCGCGGAGTGGCTGGTAGTTTCGAACCACTGACCTTAAGGTTCGCAGCCCGATTCGTAACCACTACACTACCAGAGCTCAGTAAATGTTTACTATTATTATTAAGGCTGTCTGGCACTCAGTGCCCTATGTATTCCTATAGTTTATAGGATACCTGGTGTGCCACTGTAGGATAAGCACTGGACTGCTAACCACAAAGTTGGCAACTCGAACCCACCAGCTGCTCCTTGGAAATCCTATACAGGGTTGCTATGAGTCAGAATCAACATTGATGACACTTAACAACAACATACTACTAATATAATATATACATTAAGGCTTTATAGTATCTAGCGTCCTTAGTATCCAGTGCTCTTTGTGATCTTACAGGTTTAGGGTCTCTGTTTAAATCCTTGAGAAGATCTTTCCTGATGACACTCTCTCAAGTTGAGTTCTCCTTCAGTTTTTCTCTACCTCAAAACCCTATTTACTTTTTTATTTTTTTAAATCATAATCTGTAATTATTTTGGAGTTCTAGTGTGATGCTGTAGGATACACATCAGACTACTAACCACAGGTTGGTGATTCAATCCCACCATCTGGTTCTTGGAAACCCTATACAGGGTCGCAATGAGTCGGAACCGATTCAATGGCTCTTAATAACACAAATTAGTTTATTGTTTTATTGTTACTTTGTTTTTGTTCTATAAAAGTCAGGGATCAGATATAATTCATTAACTATTTTAGCTGCAATACATAACATATTTCTTGCCACAGAAGGAATTTATTATATATTTATTGAAACAGTCTCACATTTTTAGATTTTTTTTTTTTTTTTTTGCTGCAGCCGTTCTGAGGGAGAAAGGTGAGGTTCTCTGCTCCTGTAAGGACTTAGAGCCTCAGAAATCCTATACAAGATCTCTATGAGTTAGAACCGATTCCATGGCACACTACCACCACAGAATTTAACATAATTTTTTATGTATTTTGGAATTCATATGTAGTCCTGGTATGATGCTATAAGGTAAACACTGGACTGATAACCACAATATTGCCTGTTCAAACTCATCCATGAGTGCTCCTTGGGTACCCTATACATGGTCTCTATGATTCAGAAGTGACCCAATGGCACTTAACAACAATAACAATATTGTACATTTAGTAGGTGGAATTATTTCTGATTTTCAACCCAGGAAAATTTGAAGGATAATGGTGTCCAAAAATAACAAAATGTATACACATACAGCTAAGTGATTTTTGACA